TGTTTATATGTGTATTTATCCCTAATGAAACTTGTTTGAATGCAATGTAAAGCTTGTTGCGTGTAAAGCTGAAGCCCTTTTGAAGCTCCATCAGCTTGAAGAGGCAGACTCCTGCTTATCAAACGTTTCTAAGATGGAATCTTTGGCTTCATGCTCACAAACCAAGTTCTTTGGTATGCTTGCTGAAGCTTACGTGTTCTACGTCCATGCCATGGTCGAGATGGCGTTGGGAAGGTAATACGTTATGGGAAAATAAGTTCGGTTTATTGTTTAGTGGTGAATTAGAGCTCATTGGTCTTCTTGCAGGTTTGATAATGCAGTACAGGCAGCTGAGAGAGCTAGCAAGATTAACATGACTAATCTTGAAGTTTCGAAGTTGTTGAGCAATGTGAAAATGGTGGCACGAGCTCGTTCCCGGGGTTTCGATCTTTTTAGCTCGGGAAGATATACAGAAGCCTGTACTGCATATGGAGAGGGCCTCAAGTATGATAGTTCAAATCACGTTCTTTATTGCAATCGAGCGGTATGTTGGGCTAAGATTGGACTTTGGGAACAATCTGTTGAGGACTGTAATCAAGCCCTCAAGATCCAACCGAACTACACGAAGGCTCTTCTTCGTAGAGCTGCTTCAAATGCAAAGGTGAAACGAGTGATCGGTGTCGATTCTTTCTCGTTCTTACAGGATGTTGTTGTATGTGTTTTGACATGTGTTTTCATATGTTTTCGTGTTCTGTCATGGAACGTTTTAGCTTGAAAGATGGGAAGACGCCGTGAAAGATCTCGAGTTCTTGAGGACGGAACTTCCCGAGGTTGCTGAATCTCTACATCAAGCACAGGCTGCATTGAAGAGATCTCGTGGAGAGGTAGTTGATCATAGAACAGATAGTGGTGAGGTGGAGGAAGTTTTTACTCTTGATAAACTGAAAGCTGCAATATCATCATCCGGTGAGTTCATTCGTCGTTAAACATCGTTTCTATTACGCTTTCACCGTCTTCGAACACCGCAAGTTATGCCTCCTCAATTACTCGTAAACTGTCTGAAGGAAAACTTGAATTTTCAGGTGTTTCAGTGGTTCATTTCAAGGTTTCCAACGATATATGCGACGAAACATCTGCGTTCGTGAATACGCTATGCATACGCTACCCTTCTGTTAAGTTCATAAAGGTATGTGTCAATGGGACATCTTCATCACAATGACTAACACATGACATTTCTCATGCCAATGCCTATGTTACTGTGATATCCCACATTGGTTGGATAGGAGAACGAAACACCCTTTATAAGGGTGTGGAAACCTCTCCCTAGCACGTTTTAAAAACTTTAAGGGGAAGCCCAAAAGGGAAAGCCCAAAGAGGACAATATTTGCTAGCGGTAGGACTGGGCCGTTATAAGTAGTATCAGAGCCAGACACTGGGTGATTTGTTCACTGAAGGGGGGTAGACATGAGGTAGTGTGCTAGTAAAGATGCTGGGCTCCGAAGGGGGTGGATTTGGTGGGTGTCCCACATCGATTGGAGAAAGGAACGAGTGCCAGCGAGGACGCTGGGCCCTGAAGGGGGGTGGATTGTGATATCCCACATTGGTTGGAGAGGAGACCGAAACACCCTTTATAAGGGTGTGGAAACCTCTCCCTAGCAGACGCGTTTTAAAAACCTTGAGGGGAAGCCCGAAAGGGAAAGCCCAAAGAGGACAATATCTGCCCGAAAGGGAAAGCCCAAAGAGGACAATATTTGCTAGCGATAGGACTGGGCTGTTACAAATGGTATCAGAGCCAGACACTAGATGATTTGTTCACTGAAGGGGGTAGATATGATGCAGTGTGCTAGTAAAGATGCTAGGCCTCGAAGGGGGGTGGATTGGGTGGGTGTCCCACATCGATTGGAGATAGGAACAAGTGTCAGTGAGGATGCTGGGCCCTGAAGGGGGGTGGATTATGATATCCCACATTGGTTGGGGAGGAGAATGGAACGCCCTTTATAAGGGCGTGGAAATCTCTCCCTAGCAAATGCGTTTTAAAAACCTTGAGGGGAAGCCCGAAAGGGAAAAAACTCAAAGAGGACAATATCTACTAGCGGTGGGTTTGGGTCGTTACAATTACACGATTTCGAATCTCTACCGATCAAAAAACACGGTATTTCTATGGCAGGTGGATGTGGAGGAGAGCATGTCCATAGCAAAGGCGGAAGGCATAAAAACCGTTCCAGCGTTCAAGATTTACAAGAACGGGGAGAAGTTGATCGAAACGATCCGTCCGATCCACCGGTTCTTGGAGGACTCAGTGAGAAGCTGTATTGTTCAACAAACACTCCCAGCATTGTGTCATGATGGTAAAAAACTCATTTGATGGTAAAAAACTCATTTGATGGTAAACTCATGATACAAAAAGGGTAGTAACTTTAGGTGTAACATAATCAACTACATAATTGTTTCCTAGAATTGTAGGCAGAGGAACCCTCACAGACTAAAAGTTTCTTACTTAACGTTTGCTGAGTTTATTTCTTTCATTGTAATATTCAACCATATTCTTCCTCATTTGAATCCCATTTACTTAATGTAATTATTATGTGTCCCCTGGTTATATCTTGGACATCATTCATTTACCCTTTGGTGTATAATATTGGCCGAGTTTGAAGTCTGTTGTTGTAATATTCCTCATTTGTTGTGTTGGAGAGGAGAACGAAGCATTCTTTGTAAGGGTGTGGAGACCTCTACCTAGTAGACGTGTTTTAAAACTGTGAAGCTGATGACAATATGTAACGAGCTAAAGTAGACAATATCTGCTAGTGGTGGGATTGGGCTGTTACAAATAGTATGCGGTGTGTCCGTACCAAAGAGGGTGGATTGTGAGATCTCACATTGGTTGGAGAGGGGATGAAGCATTTTCTTATAAGGGTGTGGAAACATCTGCCTTGTATTGCCACGGTTCGTTGCTTCGTTATCCTCTCCAACTGATTTGAGATCTCACAATCCACTCTCCTTTGGGGCCCTGCATCCTTGTTGGCACACCGCTTTGTGTCCTCCCCTCTTTGGGGCTCAGCGTCCTCGCTAGCACAAACAATATCTGCTAGCGGTGAGCTTGGACCGTTATAACCACTGTTCATTTCATTTCGTTTCTAACTGCTGCTGCTTTGGATTGCCACTGTTCATTTCTTGTTTTGTACCTTCAAATGAAACTCATGTTTGTGGTAGATGAGATGAGATGAGATCAGAACCGACACAGAGAGCTGCACTTTCTTTTCATCTACAACTGACCTGTCCTGTGTTATTGTGGTATGGTATGCTCTACTTTTTCACCGCATCCATTATTATGTTCTTAACTTTTCATTTCAACTTTACCAAAACTGATGGTTCTACAGAAAGGAAGGCTAATGATTATCAGAAAACAACTCATTTTTGGTAAAAACATAGCTGAGTGAGTTTTTTCATACTGATCGTCTGTTCTGTTCTGTTTTTGGGTGACCGGAAAAATTATTCAATATGATTGCTACCACTCGAACGTGTAGGGATAGAAAGATTCAAATTTCAAACAGTTTGGTTCAGGGTTGGTTTGTGTGATTTTGAGAAAGTTAGAATTTAATTCAGAGTTCGTTCTTATGGTTTGATAAAACCTCGTGAATAGTTCTTAAGGTTCGATGGAATCTTCATAAATAGGCCCTACCCATAAAAACTATCTTAGTGTGTTTTAGCAAATCATATACCCAAATTCTAGTTTTGAATATGTCGTGACTCTAAACTGTCAGTCACGTTGTACCAACCTACTAGCATAATCTATCGGGGGTCGAACACCGAGAACCGGAATCTGGAGTATGGGCCCCATCCCTAGTGGGCTGATGGGCCCTGGGGCTTTTGGTTTGAAGGTAGGCATGCTTTTGTGTTGATTTGACAGGTGAAATTGAAAGGAGTGGGTATGTCCCATCTGCCACTGCTAAGTGTTGAAAATTTTGGTGAAGGAAGGATGGTGTACTGCCTTGTCCTGTAATGAACATGGAAACTGGTGGAGTTCATGAATCTTATAACACAACATGTTTTCATGTTCTATTCTTTTAACCATTTATGCTCCACATTTTTTCAATCACTCGATTCTGCACCTAAATCTGGTAGGATCGAATCAACCTTATTTGCATATGTTGAACAAAGAATCTCGAGAATCAAATATCTACAAATCAATTCGAATACATCTATGGTGCTTAGCAGTGTCAAACCAAAATTTAGGGTGTCAAGATCAATCGTACCCAAATTGAGATTCTCTCCCGATTCATGAATTGGATTAGAACTGGATTCATGAATCGGATTAGAAGTGGTTAGTCCGAGACCTGTTTAGCTTATATGTGAGATAGCTCGAATACCTACAAACCAATTTGAACACCGTTGTGTTGCTTGTCACGCTATGATTGTGAGATCACATATTGTTTACCTTATTGTACCAAGGCTTGGGGAAGAAAAAAACTTTTAGCCATATGTATAAGGCCACACAGCTGAAACCCTCTCGAGAAGACTCTAATTGAGCCATTTAAAACATTAGGTTAAAAAACGAGTTATGATCAATATTTTTTAAGGATATTGTGATGAATGTTCAAATTTAGCGAATTTGGTTCATGTTAAAAAAAAAAAAAAAAAGTCATATTTCATATGGATACCACTAGCAATTTTTTTCTTTTTTCGAACAAGTGTCATTAGTTTCTTACTATATTTACTAGAGATTGTACTAAGACTAAAACCGGAGAAAAAAATATATAAGAACTCACGATCCTAACAGAGCCATTTAAAGCAATGAATCTGAGCCCATTAGATCTAAGAACCAATATGCAAACTCCTTATTAAACATAAGAAACTCCTTATTAAACATAAGAAACTCCTTAAACATAAACTCTTATGGATACATAAACCCGAACCCGTTATCGAGGTAGATTCAACTTTCAAGGTTAAAGTCATCCATTTTGATTTAATCTTTTCCTTCCTCTGTCCCATATCAAGTCATACTGAAGTTAACAGCACCAAAGTTGATAATTCTAACAAGTTTATCCAAGAAAGCTTCTTATTCTAATTTTTTTCGTTCTCTTTCTATGCTTCTTATAAGAGTATTTCTCTAAAACAAAAGAAAGCTTGTTATTCTAATATTTGAACAGTCTACTTGCAAAGGAAACAAAGGGAGAGAAGTGAATACTAACAATAGCCAATTTTTGGGGCCAGTGGCGACACATCATTGCAGACTAACAGTGTTTCCTCCATGAACAAGAGTGAAATCTGGTACACTACACGCTATTATTCATCCATGCCAGAAGTTGCTTCTGCAGTAAGAGATGTGCAAGAACCGTTGACAAACATGGGTTGGTCGAGCAAAGTGTTCGCTATATACTTGAACTCTTCAATCTCTCTCGCATCCATGGTTGCAAGATCCTAAGTAGTCATAAGTTTAGTCGGATGAAGTCTGAGGTACAGGTGCATAACAAGCAGGCACTACTGTATTGATTACATAGAAACATAAAAAAAAACCCAACAATGTGGGCTTGAGCCGTTACGAATGGTATCAGAGCCAGACACTGGGCGATGTGCCAACGAGGAGGCTGAATCCCAAAGGGTTAGATACGAGGTGGTGTGTCAACAAGGGGGGTGGATTGGGGGTCCCACATCGATTGGAGAAGAAAACGAGTATAAGTGAGGAGACTGACCCCGAAGGTGGGTGGATTGTGAGATCCCACATCGGTTGGAGAGGAGAACGAAATACCCTTTATAAGGGTGTGGAAACCTCTCCCTAGCAAACGCGTTTTCAAAATCTTGAAGGGAAGCCCAAAAGAAAAAATCCAAAGAGGACAATATCTACTAGCGGTGGATTTGGGCCGTTACAAAAGGTAGAGTTTCATAGTTTCAAATATAAGCTTCGGAGAAGAATAGGCTCACTATTTCAGGGAAGAAATTTTCAAATTAATTAAGCAGTAGGTTGGTGCTATACTCATTGGGAAAAGTTCATGTAATATTGATCATATTACACGACCCGTTACTCGTTGTTTACGGCTTTGTTCTATTATTTTACCTTGCAATTCAATCTGCAGATGTAGCCAACAAGCATGAGTTGCATTTGCTGCTCAAATACTTTGCTATCGCATCCGTCCACTGGCCATAGTTTCTGCCAAAAGTGAGAAAAAACTTCTAAATAATGTTGATTGTGAAAGGGGTTATCATAATTGGAAGCCAAACTCGTGAACCAAATCGAGCTGGAAATAACATAAATTTGGAATGCATGAAAGAATGAAAGTTACCCAAATCCTTTTCTGTTTAGTACAGGAACTGCAATTCCATCCGATGTTAACCACAACCTTGATGGTCCAAGCCGTACCAGTGCCAGCCCAACCGATGAACGTTCCAAAAACTTGGTCGGGCAATGATGGATCCTCTGAAAACCATGCATTAAACTCATCATGATCTACAACATTCTGAAAAGCCAAATCAACACAGAACTTTTCAGATCCCATAGTCAAAGTCAAACCAAGCAATTTAGTCCAATTCTTTTAGAAAGCTCAAAAATGATACTGGACAATGGAAGTATAGTATTCGAAGATTGAAACTTGAATGGGTATCAAACAGATTGTTCATTAATTCATTAAACTATGTATTCATTGCAAGTCGGGCAGAGAAATACAGAATCACACACCTGAGATTTCACTTATGGACCCATTAACATATTGAGAGCTCAGATGTATTGGATCAATAGGTAAGCTCCTATCTACCCCTGAAAATATCATGAAAATAACTTGAGACAATGATTAGATAAATAAAAACTACTAATGAAATAAAATACAAGAAAAATAAAGATATTCATACAGTCTTCAAATGGGGGAAGACCCCACAGCTCAGGCTGAAATTCTAGTAAAGAATGAAGCACTTTATCTGCTAGGGAAGAGCATTCAACTTCTCCATGGGATGGGACAGCTACAACCTTCATCTTGGCAGCCTTGGCTGCTTTGACACCAACCCTGGTGGAAATGTCTCTTGTTCAGAGAAAGGAAAAAGGTGGAGATGCATATAATAAATATCCTAGGTAGCAGATGCCACACTGTATGACCCCAAAAGGCAAGGACGCCTAGTGAATACAGCTTGTCATACGGATTCAAGCGTCGGGTCACGGATCACTAAATGGTTGAATGAGCCTATCCCTAGCTTGCAGGAGTGCTATTGCTCAAGTCCTTTTTACCTCGAAGGGTAAAGTTATAGTGGATTGGAATCTATTGACTTTTAACTTCTCAAGGAAGCAAGTTCGCTATCCCGATTATGATTTTCCTACCCCCGAGGGAAAAGTCCTTCCCTTTTTGGCCAGTTGTAGGCGAGGAGGGATCCAAACCCCCGACACTGTGGTTTGTAGCCACATTCTCTAATCCTCTGAGCTATAGGTCCCACCCCGTCTCCGCTGGATCTGTTTTTGGGAGTACCCTAAATAAATGAACCTTTTCTCTCCCCAGCCATTTGCCATTTCGGGAAGCTTATATTCAGTCATTTTCGAAGTTGGCTTAATGTGAATGTCTGAAAAGATCTTCTAAAATTACTACTAACACTACAAATGCATATAAAGTAATAAACCAGTTAGTTTCCAGGTAAAAAGTCTGAATTAAGGTGGTGGTTGAAAGTGTAATCGAGTTACTTGCAAACTTGAGGGGACGAAAAAAGTAAAAGCAAGAGCAAAGAGGAACGGGGTTGCAGATAGTTTTATGTCATTAACTGTTGCTGCAGAATAATTGCAATAAACTATTTAGGATAAGGAAAAGAACTGCGAGAAATAAACGTTGGCTGCAAAACTAATTATGAAAATCTGATAACCTTGAGAATATATTTATGTAATTAAAATTAATAGTCAAAAGAACTGCAAACTTACAAGGAATCTTCAATGACCAAACAATGAGAAGCATCTACGCCCATCCTCTTCGCTGCCTCTTCAAATCTGAAAAAGTGATGTTTAGAGTAACAGTTTAGTCAGATACCTTTAGATTAATAATTCAATAAAATTTTGTTAATTTGTTGGTTGACCTTGCTAGGAAACTATTTTCACCTTTAGCTTTTAATCAATTAAAGATTCTATTCTCTCATTTCGGGATATTTCCCTCGTTTTTGATCAATTTAATTGTTTTCATTTCCTTCGACATTTGGATTATGAAGATTTCGATAATCCACAAGACAATCTTATGTTAGGAATCACGAACCTCCACGATGGTATGATATTGTCCACTTTGAGCATAAGCTCTCGTTACTTTGCTTTTGGTTTTCCCAAAAGGCCTCATACGAGTGGAGATAGTGTTCCTTACTTATAAATCCATGATCTTCCTCTTAATTAGTCAACGTGGGACTACTCTTTTCAGTAATCCTCGACATATTATTCCAGCTTACATTGAAATCATTAAATCCATATAACTAGAATTTTGGAATGCAAGAAGTTCATTAGACTTCCATTTCCACATGACCAAAAGTAAGATTTCAAATGGTTCATGCAAAAAAAAAAAAAAGCTTACAGATAAGGAGCAGGTTTCCCTTGAATAACCTGGTCACTACCAAGAATCACAGAGAACCAATCCTTCCAACCTGCACACAAGAACATATAAAAGTGAGTTACAATAGCTGAAGATTGAAGAAAGCTGTGGATATCCAATTACCGGGAAGCTGGAAAACAACATTATAGCTATAATCACTCAAATTAGCATTGATCTGTTCAACACATCATAGACAACCTCAAAAGAAAAGAAAAAGTAAAGAAGGATAGAGAACTGTTCCATAATAATTCCATGTGTTACATTACATTGCTTTTTCTGAAAAGCAATCAGGAGAATATGACCCTACAATGCAAGAGTTTAATCATATCATATAATTGGCAGCAACACATGTGCATCAGAAAATGACCAATTCTGAATTCTATTCATCTTGGGCTGATACCCGTCATTGTCTAAGCCAATTTGAGTACACTTCAACTGTTCTCACAAGACAACCGTTTGACCCTACTACATTAGTCGAGGTCCTACTTAGTGGTCACCATGACTTGAACTCATTCACTTCAAACCTTTTTTCATACTCCGTTGGTTAAATGCAAAGTAACCCATTATCCATTATCCACTATCAAATAACTATTCAAAAACATCCTTCTTTAATTTTCAAGAAAACCATATGCTGGTGAAGTTGAGCCTAGTTCAACCCTCTATGCCACTCTATTCGCAAGATATTCAGACGAAAAAATAAATTAAGTAGACATATGAAGAAGAAAATACCGTTTAGACTAGCAATTTTTGCGTAGATATACTCATTTGATGAATTTGATGCGAGCGCAAATGGCACCTTGTGAGAGTAAAGATGTTTGATAAGACGATCAGCACCAGGAAGTGCTTTGACAGAGGGCCATCTGAAGAACATTTCATCAGTTACATCACAATAATGTTAGAAATCACGACCCTCCACAATAGTATAATATTGTCCACTTTGAGTATAAGCTCTCGTGGCTTTACTTTCAACTTCCCCAAAAGGCCTCATATAGAGATGTATTCGTTACTTATAAACCCATGATCATTCCCTAAATTGGTCAACGTGAGACTCCCTCCAAACAATCCTCGAAATAAAAATTAAGGAAACGAGCTAAAACGTAAGGGCTGGAATCTTACTTTTCCCTGTACATGGGAGTAATTTCTTGAATAAATTGGTCTGGCGTCAATGGAAGGCCATAATCCCGAACGATTGCAGCCGCTGATTCTTTCTGAGTCATTCCCAATCTCTTCTCCTCTTCCCTCTTTTTATCCAAATCCTTTCCATATTTTGCCAAGAAATCCTTCAACACGTCTTTTGTCGCCCTCTCTGCACATAATACAACAGTGTATCTGCATTCTCATACAATCATAACGTGAAAATAGAAAAACATTTGAACTCATAGAAGAAATTGCAGACCAGTGTCCAAAAGGGTTCCATCGAGATCGAGAATCACGGCAGAAGCTCTACCAAGTTCAGAATCAAAGGAATTCATCGCAATCGAAGGTAATAAATCTGAAATTAAGTCTGCGAGTGAATGAAATAGATCGGTGAATAATCTGGCATTGAAATGAGAAGCAAAATATTGTTATAAGGATTGAGGAACATACGTAGCTAGTGGCGAGGGATCGATACCCACGAACGGAATTGGGAGCACATCTCAGAATCAGAATTCGATACAGATGGAATGTGAGAGAGGAAGAACGATCGCCTTCGCAAGTTGGGAGTGAGATTGGATATTTCCGATCGTCCAGAAGACAGATTGTGGTTATTTCCGCTCTGCTCTGTTCTTCGCGGAGATTGAACAATGAAAAAGGACGGAAACGGTGGGTTTTGACGATTACTTCAATGCGGATAACGCTGAATGTATGCCAACTGCAAAATTCTTGTTCGATTTGAATCAGTTGGCTTGCCAATTTCTTCCTTCTCGAAGATTGAAATGCCAGAGCAAGCTTCGTGATCACAAATTCGATATTCAGTTATTCGCTGAATTTGTTTCCGTTTCTGTTTTTTTTTTTTGTAAATATGAAAAAAATTATAAAAGTATTTTTTAATATTTTTTCAAGGGTCATCAAACTTAGAATAAAAGTATTTTTTAATATTTTTTTAAGGGTCAAAAATATTTTTAAAATATTTTCAATACAGAGTATTATTAGAACAAACTTAATAATGATAATTTTTTAATGTATTTAAAATATTAGAAATATATATATATATTTTTTAATTTATTAAAGTTTAGAAGAAGTATTTTAGAAGGAAAAAGGCGTGGAAGAATCCATAAAAGGAAGATGCAGTGTTGTTTTACATGGAACCAAAATTTGACGACATGAAGTGGTATATACAGAGCATAAAGGAATGATACCTTAGTTTATTCCCAATCAAATCATGCAGTACAGAATGATCTAAGCACATGACACTACCATGCTTTTCAAATGCTTTAAAGCCAATTGAAAAGTCATTCCAAATTCCATTACCCTTCCAAAACAATTTCCCAAACTCGAGCATCGTAAATTGGAAATTCGTCCATGCAATGAAAGACTATTCACTAAAATTAACTAAAAACTTCTAACTTAAAATGGATTTTTAACGAGTAACCAAGGAACAGTAAAGTTGTGAGATTGATCTCATATCGATTGGAAAGGAGAATAAAGCATCTTTATAAAGGTGTGAAAACCTTCCTAGTAGACGCATTCTAAAAACTTCGAGGAGAAGCCGGTATCTACGATGGACTTGGGCTGTTACAAATGGTTTCAGAACCAAACATCAAACAGTGTGCCTGTGAGGACGTTGGGCCCGAAGATAGATAGGTGATTGTGAGATCCCATTGAGAGGAGAACAAAGGTGTGAAAACCTTCTCCTAACTAAAAATCTGAAGGAAAAATTCAAAAAAGACAATATCGGCTAGTTCAACTAGCACAATCGAATCCCATTTTTCATGGTTGCAACTTTGAAAAAGGAATCTTTTTGCAGTCCTCCATCTGCATGCCTCCCTAGTCTCCCTGTACTCGAATTCTATTTTATCAGTAGAGAGAGAGAGTTGACGAGAGGAATGACATAGAACATATATAATGCTTTAATAGAAACCCGAAACCCGAAACCCAAACCCGAAATCCAGACAAACGCATTTTTCATGTAAACAGGATGGATAAACACTTTTAACAATTCAAGTCATTCCTCCTACAACCTATCCACCATCCACTGAGAAGGGAAAGCTAGACCAAATAAGTCCAGATATCATCATACTCAAAAATAAACCACACAATAATGGGGCATCAGAGAAAGGGAAGGAGAAAAAGAGAAGAAAATAAAAAGGAACCCTCCTTATGCTAAACACTAAGGGCAATTGCTTATCAAGTCACATCCATCATCCCCAGAGTAGTACCGATTCTGCCACTTAGAATGCTATCCATTTCACTGCAGAGCATATGGAGAGTGATGGTCAAGTATAATTCAAACATCACTGACTAACTGCAACAAACGGTTCGAGCTACTCACCTCATCGTCGCCACCGGCAACTTTGACAGTGCCGTTGACCTTTTGAGCATCATCTGTAGCAATGAGGAAACGCATGTCAAAACACAGAGAGGGAGGGAGAGTAAATCGAATGAGATGGTGAATGGACGCTTATAATGAACTTTAGGATAAAATTAAGGTTAACCATCTCAGTCTTATCATTCTTGCTACAACTACAAGTCTATATGGCTAGAATGTTTTCATTTGCAAACAACAATGCAAGGATTATCTAACATAGTTCACATGAGAATGCATTGGCTTAGGATTTTTTGAAACCACGAAACAGGGCAACGCTGAAGAGGTGAGAAAATTCTTAGTGGCACGACTCTCCACAATGGTATGATATTGTCCACTTTGAGCATAAGCTCTCATGGCTTTGCTTTGGGTTTTCCCAAAAGGCCTCACACCAATGGAGATAGTATTCCTCGATTATAAACCCATGATCATTCCCTAAATTAGCCAATGTGGGACTTTCATCATCCAACACTCAGCAACCATAAAGATTACAGATATCAAACAAGCAAAATTCAAAATTCAAAATTCATTTAGTTCGTCCATAAGCTATGTGAACTCTCTTATTCTCCAAGAGGACAACACCCAATAATGGTTAGCTTAAATGATGCAGACCGGAGAACACCAAAAATAGATTATAGCATAACAACCATACCTTTGTATGGAAATAAAAATGGATAATAAGCACATAAAGAAGATTTACAAAGCCCCCCAAAAAAGTGTAAACGATAAACCATTTCATATTGTATTGGCCAAGGCCAGTAAGGATGTTCGCCATTACCTCCATCCTCTGGGATGTCAGAAGTCCATAATGTGAGGTTGTCTCTAAGAAGCTGCATGATTAAGGTGCTATCTTTGTAAGACTCCTCATTGAGGGTGTCAAGTTCGGAGATGGCTCCATCAAAAGCTTGCTTTGCAAGGTGGCAGGCCCTAAACAAGAAAAGCACAATGTTTCAGGTGAATTCGCAACTAAGCTCCGAAGAGGATAGATCTCTGCTAGATTTCCTGGTAACACTACGATAACCATACCTTTCAGGTGAATTCAGGATTTCATAATAGAAGACAGAGAAATTTAATGCCAAACCCAAGCGGATAGGATGTGTAGGAGGCAATTCAGATTCGGCTGAGCTAGTTGCAGCCTGTAACAGACAAGACAAATGTAAGAACTAGGAAATGTATAGGCAAAGGGGAGCTATATAGAACAATCGCCACTCAATTAAAGCGTTTGATTTATGAATTCCAAGTAGTCTAATAAAAAACCTTCTGACAAATAACTTCCTGTAAACCTTATTTTGAACAAGTTTAACCAGGGAAAAGAAAAGATTTGTCGTTGTATTTGCTTCTACAATCAGAAAAAGGAGTGACAGAAGCAAAAGAAAATATTGATGATAATTTCCTTTCAAAGTGAAATTTTATCGATTATCATCCAGACTACTGCTAAAAGAATGTATTAAATAGTCATATTCCCAAGAAAATAATGTATATATATTTATATGATAAACCAGACAAATCCAAAACATGTAACAGCCAAATAAAAACTTGTTCAGTATAGTATAAAATGCAATACGTCAACATAATTTAGAGACAGAGAGACAGAAAGTTAAACAAGACATATTTTAGAGAGAAAGCTAAGTACGATCTACATGGGGAAAAAAAGAATACAACAAGACAAAGAATAGAAGGGGAAAATGTAAATACCCACCTCATATGCTTTCATCGATTGATCAGCTGCATCTTTCTTCTCATTACCAGATTTAAATTCTGCAAGGTAACGATAATAATCTCCTTTCCTGTAATGAAGGATGATTAAATTTCACAAGTGTCCAATAGTCATGCATCTATGCATTAATGCATAAGCTAGAAGTATACTTACATCTTATAGTAGAACACTGTTGATTCCCCAGCTGAAGCAGAGGGAATTAGGTGTTCGTCAATCACTGTCATGATATCAGTACAAATACCAGAGAGCTCTGTTTCAACCTTTTGTCTGTACTCCTTGATGCGTTTGGCATTTGTTTCATTTCCTTTAGCTTCTTCTTTCTGCTCTATTGATGATAAAATCCTCCATGAGGCTCTCCTTGCACCAACCACATTCTTGTACCCAACAGAGAGTAAATTTCTTTCCTCCACTGTCAATTCGACATCAAGCTTTGCAACATTCTTCATTGCATCCACCATTTCTATCAAAGATATGAACAACGTAAATAAAAATCAGAACCATCATCCTATCATCCAAAACAACCACAATCTGAGTTTTTCTGACGAGACAAGCAAAGACAGTACAGGAAGAAACTTCAATTTGCTTTGCGCTTACAGATAAAATGATGTCCAAGTTGTCTGTGTAAGTAGCACAAGCTATCAAGCTAACGAGTGATGATCGAAAGACTTCCAAAAAAAAGGAGTATTTTCTATTAAATCGAACCAAAGAGGCAGAAAACCATATAAAACGATAGATCAAGAGAAAAATATTTCTCGAGAAGCAAAATCGAAGAAATGTACCAGAATTTTAGGCAAATTAAATTTCCTCAAGTTTCAAACAGATCGTGTAAACTGAAAAACACAACACTCAAAAGAACAAAAACTTCGGAAAAAACTACAACACAGACAAACGATCGCGCTTCAAATCCGAGCTCAAAAGCCATAAACACAGAGTCAAACAAAATTAAGCATATCACACAACCACAGATAAATGCGATCTAAGCAGCGAGTCAAAAGTAAGACAAAAACAACAAAGCTTCATACAAATCAAATAAAAATCGAAGAAGATAAGGAGATGCCGCAAACCATCATAACGCTCGGCCTGCTCGGCGAGCTTGGCGATGTAAACGAAGTTCTCGCGCTCTCTGGATGAAGCCATAACCGATCTGAGACCAAAGAATTAGGGTTTTCTGTACAGTGTGGGTTTTTTTGGTGGTTCTGGCTCCAGAAAGAGAGAGGCAGAGTCAGACCCACAAAACTGGAGAAACCAACAAAATAAGGAGAATATGAACCCTCAAATTGCTCTAATGCTTGCTTATATATATTTTTAAAAATATATATTATTATTATTAAATAAAAGTCTTTTATATTTGTTCTTCTTCTCTGTTCAAAAAGATTCTGGTCTCTCAAAATTGACATCTAAATTACCCGCGTATTAGAGATAATTCGTGGAAATTTATACCCAATAGTATCACGCCACGTGTACACCTAATTCTTTTTTTTCTTTTTTTTTTGGCTAATTATGTAAAGAGAAGAGTCCTTGGTCATGCCACGTGCACACCTAATTGCCTATGGACGGTCTTTAATTTTGCAGAGTAAATTTAATGCCCATTAAAATAAATAAAGCCAATTCTCTAAAATACCCTCGTATTTGATTGAAATTCCAATACTATCCCACACCAATAATTGAAGATTTCCAAGCGTGTTCTTCACTTAAAATGTTTAAATCAAAACTACATTTGTTTTATTAATTGTTTTTTTTATAATTAAAAACTAATTATTATTATTATATATACTAAAAATTAAAATTTTGTGGGACTAAGACCATATTTTAAAAAATGTTGGAGAAATTTGGTAGATATATATGAAATTTAAAATTAGCTATTTTTCAAATATGGTAGTCCACGCTGTGTTTAAGACATGCGACCAATAATATTTAACGGTTTTTTTTAAGAAAATAAAAAAATTGTCGACATGCAACTAATAGTATTTAATGGTTTTTTTAAGAAAATAACATGCAACCAATAGTATTTAATGGTTTTTTTAAGAAAATAACAAAAAATTGTCGGCATGACACTGTAAATGAAGAAGTGGCACGTACCTTGCCTTAATTGATATTGAAGTCAAAAAGACATATGTCCTCCTTACTCATACTTTCTTGACTCGCTTCCTCTTAATGGGTTGTGCCTCGATATTAATTGTGCGTTTATGGATGACTTGGAGTAGTCTAGCCAAAATGGTTGGCTTGTGGGCTCCATATCAAAACTCTAACAACCATTTCTACCTACACGAGAATAGTGAATTGAAAATTCCTTTCTTTTATTCAAGAAGTTTCATAATTCGACTTTGGAGCGAGATAAGGAGAAATTATCACATGATAAAGCAATCATGGTGTAACGATCCAGATCCACCGCTAGTAGATATTGTCCTCTTTGGGCTTTTCCTTTCGGGCTTCCCCTCAATGCTTTAAAACGCGTCTACTAGAGGAAGATTTTCACACTCTTATAAATAGTGATTTGTTCGACATCACACATGGAGACCATCGTCAAATAAATCCATAATAGCATAGTATTATTTAATTCATAAAGATACGAAAAAGTACTTCGAAGTACTTCTACAAATAAAAATATAAAGAACAGTGAGTATCGTTCCATTTCAAGTCGAAGGTGATAAAACTTCTAGAAGAAAGGGACCAAGAATGACTTGTGGGAGCCATTAACCGTAGAATTCAGCGCCTCTGATCACTTGTAATTGGAACCGTCAATGCACTTAAGGAACCGAAGCAGCCGAATCATATATCAGACGGGGGAAAAAACACTGACCACTCGATGCATTTCCAACTATTACCAAATGGAAGGTTCTTGTTGCATACGTTATTATAAAGAGACTAGTGAGAAGTTGGCCGAAGAGCTCAGCAGCACAACCAATATACAAGCATTTATATGGAGAAAAGCAAGGGTAGACGTTGCACCGACACGGGATGGCTGCTCTTAACCAGTGTTCTGCATACCGGCGGCGATACCCTTCATCGTTAAGATGAGAGTGTCCTCCAAACCCGGGGCATACTCGCTCTTGGGGTTGAGTTTCACAAGTTCTGCAGCAGATTTGCTTGATTCTAGGTATTCCTTTGACAGATGAGGTCTAACTTTCACGTTGTAGTTGGGATCACGGATACGCTTCAATGTGTACACTTGGCAAACGTTAAGGGTGGTTATGTACGAGTCACGAAGTCGGAGTCGCTGCCTCAAGTAGGGGTCTCCTTCAAGAAGATCCTTGTGTTTAGCTATCTGAAAATTTTAAAGCGAACTGCTTAGTTGCAGACAAGAGTTTTACCATCGGTCTAAGTCTATCGCTAACAGATGTTGTCCTCTTTGGGCTTTCTCTTTCGGACTTTCCCTCGAGGTTTTTAAAACGCGTTTGCTAGTGAGAAGTTTCTACACCCTTATAAAGAATGCTTCATTCTCCTTAAACTAACGTGGGATCTCACAAAAATGTTTTAGAACAAAGTATACGTGAAGTACCTGAAGGAGGAGGTGCTTAGTTTCTTCAAAGTTAGCCCTCAATTGCTCCCCAAACGACCATAGATCTTTCGACACGAGAAGCTTGTCATACAGAGCAGCAATGCCAGGGTCACCTTTGGCAAACACCATTTCAACTAAGTCAATAGTGACTCTAAAAAACGGCCACTGACTGTACATCTCCTGAAGCATGTGAAGATTCTTCACATCCTTCTCAATGACACTTTTAAATGCTGATCCAAAACCAAGCCAAACTGGTAGATGAAACCTTGTCTGTGTCCAAGCAAAGATCCATGGAATTGCACGCAGTGATTCAATGCCTCCGCTTGGCTTCCTCTTTGATGGACGACTTCCGATATTCATTCGACCGTATTCTAACTCTGGGGTAGCCTGCAGATTTAAAGGAACGTGAAAAGTGGTTAATTTCTGAACATAATTCGTCAAATTGATAGCAGAAGTAACTTAATCATGCAAGAGTAAGTGAATGGACTAAGAGTAATGATAACTATTCGTTGTGTTCTAATAGTCATGGATTCGATCACTTACAAGGCGGAAGTATTCGACAAAACGAGGTTCCTGGAAAACTATGGAGCGGTATTTCTCTGTAGCAACAACAGCCATCTCATCCATGAGCGCACGCCATTCAGGCTTCGGAGAAACAGGTGGATTCATGCCATGCTCGAGCGTTGCAGCGGTAAAACGCTGAAGTGTTCTAAAGCACAAGTGCTCCTCACCAAAAGATTGTTCAATAACCTCACCTTGAACTGTGACACGTAGTGAACCATGAATTGTATCTGGGGGCTGAGATAATATAGCAAGATGTGTAGGTCCTCCTCCTCTGCCAACTGTTCCTCCTCGGCCATGGAACATTGTGAGCTTAACTCCATATTCTTTTGCCACTTGGATGAGTTCTTCTTGTGCCTTATATAGCTGCCAAGCAGCAGAGAGACGACCAGCATCCTTCCCGGAATCCGAGTACCCGATCATGACTTCTTGCTTACCATCGATGCGGTTTCTATACCAGTCGATTGAAAAGAGACGAGCCATAGAAGAAGGAGCAGCCTCAAGATCAGCAAGTTTTTCAAATAATGGCACAACCCTCAATGGCTTCTGCACATGACATTCACGTTGTAGAAGCTCAACAGCAAGCACATCAGATGGTGCTGTTGCCATTGAGATAATGTAGGCACCAAAGTTATCTGAAGGAAGCTCTGCAATGACACTGAAGGTGTCCAGAACATCAGCAATTTCTTCTGTCTTTGGAAGATCAGGACCGAAAAGAGGGCGTTTGCCACTGAGTTCAGATAGTAGCCATTCTTGCCTTTGTTGTTCCGACCAGTCTTTGTACGAACCAATTCCCAGGTAATTAGTGATAGCATCAATGACATCAGTGTGTCTGTCTGATTCTTGCCGGATATCCAGCCTTACAAGTGAAAGCCCAAATGTAGAAACTTGCCGTAAGAAATCGAGAAGGCTCCCGTCAGCAATGGGACGATCGCCACAAGCACAGAGCGACCTGTAGCAGAGTTCCAGAGGCTCCAGGAACTATGAGGAAAAAGGAAACAAGTCAGCACTAGCAAAAGGGAAGGAAAAAAAAAAAGCACAATGGTTGTTTTATGTTGGCCAAAAGCTTTTGTACAATTCCATCTAGCAAATGTGGCCTACATGTTGGTTCAAATAAACTCATTACAGATGGTCAATTTGAACCACCATTCTTACTCACAATGGTTGTTTTATAATATATTTAGATCATTCTGCTGCAGAGCCATAGAATTTAAAGATACATAATGTAAGGAAAAACCTGCTCAACATCGGTGAAAGTTGTATCGTCGGGAATGTCAGACATTCCACTGGTTAATAAATGACGAGCACGTTCACGCGTATTGTATAACTTATCTCGTACATCACCAAGAATAACACGGTAGGGCTCATTTGGAGGAATTTGTTTCCAAAACTCTGCACCCAGAAAGAGTGAAAAGCCACTCAAGGTCAGTGAACTCATGAGGCTGGATATGAGTTCAATCAAAACCATGCCAAGAAACAATATTGAAGAATGTAGTCAAGTTTAATGTAGCATATTGATATCTTAAGTAGTTTTAAAACCAAAAACTATAATGTGGTTCAATTTTAAAACAAAATCTTATATACCAATGTAGTGCTTTGAATCTTTTCTTGAGGATCTATGAAGTTCATCAGCACGGCTCTGTAACTCGTGAGTACATCTCCACATAGATAACTGGAAAACAGAGGAATTGAAAACAAAGGGCAGCGTTGAGTGCATAATAATGGAAAAGAAACTCAACATACTAAAACCAGAAGCCGTAAAATTTAATTGAAACTTGAAATTTTACTTGCTTATACCTCAAACATAAGATCCTCTATCTGGGAAAAATATAAGTTGGCAGCCATCATTCTAGCTAATAAGCAGACATCCCTTGTTACCTCGGGTGTAACCCGGGGGTTCCCTGCAGCCGATATACACATTAGAAACATCGGAAGCATCTAGATGTACTCTTATTCTAATGAGTGCAAAGAACTCAACAAAAATGGTGTGATTCAGCATGCATTATTACTCAATGGATGGTCTAATAAAAGGATGACTAAATATAAGTCTTTGCTGAGATATACATACCATCACGATCCCCACCCATCCACGATGAA